TACAGTACCTTATAGAGAGCATCCTTCAGACTCTGTAGAGTGGTGCCCAGTTTGAGATCAGAGACGCAGCTGAACCAGTCCAGCAGAACCACGTAATCCACGAAGCCGCGGCGCTTCCAGTCCTCCAGAGACTCTGCCGGGAGCTTCAGCTGGATCTGGTTCACCGTCACCCTGAGCATTAGCAGCACACGAGAGCATTCAGTATTCATATACACGAGTGAAGCGGATTACAGAGAAGGAACACATGTAGAGCGGGACTGGGTTCTATCCGCTATAGAATCAAACAGAGGCGCCACGAGACAGGATTATTATAGTTAACTGAAACTAAAAACATTCAAAGATATTTTTATTATTTGAAATAAATGTTACCTGCAATAAAACTAAATATATATATATTAAAAAAACAAAGTTAGTTGCAGAGGCACCATTTGTCATTTCAATTTAGTTTAACTTCATGTACTAAAATTAGGGCAAAACGATTAATTGCATCCAAAATACAGTTCACGCACATATATTATGTAAACAAAAACATTTTGGATGTGAATAATCACGATTAATCGTTTGACAGCACTAACTAAAACTGAAATTAAATTTAAAAACTACACAGACATAGGAAAATGACTAAACAAAAATAACAAAAAGTTCTGAGACTCCTCGAAGTCCTGTCTGCGCCGCGCGTCCATCACCAGCACACTTATACTGGGATCCTTCATCAGCTGGAACAGATCCTTAGCGCTGACGCTTCCTGATGGGACAGAAAACACACGTCACTAAACAACAAACACACAGAGAAGTGTGACACTCCGCCGGGACACACGGTACCTTTATCACAGCCAGTCTTACTGTTATTGGGCTCCTCTTTAACCTGCTGTAAAACACACACACAACAGCAAAATTATTTATTAACAAATCACCTCCAAACATACGTGATGATGATGAAAGCTTTGAACATTGACCTGTTTAACTGATCAAGTGCCAACTGCTAGTTAAACCTACTAAACCAGTGATAAAAAAATTAAGAGTCAAAGATAAGATTAAAAACAACTTTGCTAAGTGTACTGTGTTAAGCTAACTGAGACTTGTTATAGCACTTGCGTATCATTGCTCTTTTGTTAGTTTTGATTGCTTCTGTTGTCCTCATTTGTAAGTCGCTTTGGATAAAAGCATCTGCTAAATGACTCATTTTAAGTTATTCGAGCAGCATAAATTTCAGGAGCTGATTATCTCCAGAAGTGTGTGTGTGTTTGATGATACACCAGATACACTTATCAAATCAAGTGATGAAGCCACACAAAGGGATGTGATTTCCAGTCCTGCACCTTCTTATTGTCCTTCTTCTCTGGTGAAGCTCGGCCATCTTTTTCAATTCTTTCTTCTCGTCGACTCTTTTCCTCCTTTCTCTCTTTCTCTTCCAGCTGTTTCCGCACTTCTGCTTCCTCATACCTGAGAGAACGACACCAGCAGGTGAACAGAGTGTGTGTGTGTGTGTGTGTGTGAGAGTGAGTGTGTGTGTGT